CCCAGGTTTCCCACCCGAAGGAAGGGGAACAGAAACGTAGAAGACGGGTGACTTATTGGAGCCCTGGCGTGAATCACTGCAGCCTCAGCACAGGCTCACTACTGACAACACATTCACCATCTCCCTGCAAAACAACCACCATCCCAACCTTGGGTTTTATTCATTTGGGGTTTTTATTATTGTTTTAATTACCTCTTGTCTCTCTGCTCACAGCAGCCAAGGGGCCGGGGGGCTTTAACACCAGCATTTTCTCCCACTGGGCTCCCAAGAACACACACAGTCCCCCAGACAGGCTGGGACACTTGGAATCACAGCTCTCATCTCTTCTAAAAGCTTGGCAATCGGGGGAGCTGCTTGGATACTATTATTTTCAAATCTGGGAGATGCGAGTGAGCCGGGCAGCTTGCCACAGAGGTTATCCAAAAGGGAAACAAAACCACCACGAGCTGTTTCCAGGAGAAAATGTGACCTGCAGGAAGGCCTTACTGACTCATTGGATGAATCTGGTGGAACTTGGGTGGATTAAGATCATCTGCGTGAATAAAGGCTGGCGGGTTCATGCCCTAAATCCTCAGAATTTGTCAGCTACCTGCGTCCACAAGTTTTATTCTCTGTTTATAGGTCAAAGGGGTATTTGTGAAACACACTGGGTAAGTGTGCAGCATGACTAGAACACACCAGTGCTCTCCCTCAAGAGAGGCCAACCCCCACATGAAACTTGCCAGTCAACCCTCATTTTTAACACTGGTGCAAAAAAGTTTGCCCGTGACCCTCTGCCCGCAGGCACCAAGTGAGGTGGCACAGCTACAAAACAGCAGTGCCTGGCATGCCCCTGCCCCTGTGCACTGCATCCGTGCCGTGTTTCCAAGAACACTCCCAATGCACAGAGCACACGGTCTATTTTCAGACTCGCAGAAGCTTGTCGCACAGGAGACACCCACGCTGCACACTTGGGGAGACTTTCTGCTTTGTTCCTTGTAAGCTGCTTGGATTTCAAGATTAAAACAGGAAGCAAATGAACAAAAAAACCCCAAATCCCTACACTTCTGCACATTATGGGTGGGAACAGCAGAATGACTACAAGAGTGGAGACGTGTCCCCCTCCTTCTGCAACAAGCTGCAACTCTGGAACCAAGAACCCCTGCTGCTTTCTAGCTGCGAACCGTAGAGGTATAGCAGGCAAGAAACCAAAACGAACTTTAGTTCAGATCTAACCCTCAGAGGAAAAGCAGCAATGACTCCTGCAGCATGTGCAATTCCACACACATCAGCCTGAGCAGAGGGCAGATCCGATGCTGCAGTACCTGCCCCAACCCAAACTGTTTAGGGCAAGCCAGAAGTTAGTGGCATTCGCAGCTGCTGGCAGTGGCTGTGCCTCGGGTCCTGAGCAGCCCTCAGCCCAGCCCTGCTGCTTGCTCAGTATTTCTGTATTTGACCTGCAGCTTTGGTCTCTTTCCAAGAAGGCTTCTAAATGTAGGTGAGGTAATAATTTTAACAGATTAAACACTTCCAGAGGGGGGAAGCATGGAGCACTTCCAGTTTGATACAATAAGGACCAAATTAACAGAGAGGTCAAGAGTTCTAATTTGTGAAGACAAAGTTGTTAATCCTGATTCTGAGCACAAAAGCTAAATACTCTGTTGGCAGTCTCCCAGTCCAGTTGACTAATAACTGATAACAAAGCATGAATGCTGTTTGAGTTTAAGAATATGGCTTAATTTTTAAGTATTATTTGTGAAAGAGGGGAAAGAGAGAAAGAAAGACGACTCCCACGTTTGCAGAACGGCCTGGTTCCTTAATAAACCTTAAGATATAAGGGTTATATCCATGGCACCAAAAGCAGTTTTCTCCAGTTAGAGGAGCTCTACCTAAACAAAGCACTGTAGGACAACATCTAGATTTGTTTTCACTTAAGCAGCAAGTCACAACTGGGATGGTCTTAGACACATGTAGTCCAGCTGTTTGCCATTTACAGTTTTTGCTGATGGTACAAAAGCCAGGGGGAAGTATCACATAAACCTAGTAGATTCAGACCAAACCCAAGAGAAACTGAGCTCCTTAGAAAGTAGTACATGTATTTGGGGCTCAAGAGAACAGCGTGTGGAATAGCAGGAAAAATACAGTGTAACTGAACAGCCCTTTGGAAATGTCACACCTGAGCTTACATTTAATGCAGTAACTACACAGAGTTAAGCACAGCTTTGGAAAGGCATAAAAGATGCTAATCTCAACCTTACCCTGAAGTGATAGCAGAGGTTAATTTACACAAGCAGCAGAATGGGAGCAGGGGGAAGGAAGTGGTTAGAGGTTATTAATACAAATGATCAAAGCACACACCAGGTCAACACAAGCTACTGTTCTCACCTCAGTAAATGAAATCTAACCCAACTATAACGTAACTCTTGGGAAAAGGTCCATTATAATAGTACAAAAGAATAGTAATCATCTTGAGGACTAACTCTGAAATTCCAATTACACTTGTTTATTGGATTCTCCTGAATCCAGGCCCACCCAGCATGTGCCTGATTCAATTGCTATCTGAAACAAAGGCAAAACCAGAATACCACACAAAATGAGAAAACATAAAAGCAGAGAACAGATTAACACTAATATCTTCAAAGATGGACGGAAGGCTCAATAAATGCAAAATAACTCCATTATACATATTTAGGACAGGAGAGAGACTATCTGTCCTGTATCAGATCTCTCCCACTGAAGTTCCTTGTACTGTTCACTGCATTTCCAAGTCTAATTTTAAGACCTTTAAATCCTCCAGCCTCAAGTACAGCAGTGCAGTCCCTCTTTATATCCCTCCAGGAATCTGCTAATATCACTTCTAGCACAGTCCTCTGGCTCACCTATTGCAACCTCCTCCCCTCAAAAAGTTTGCTCCAACATACTAAATCAAACTCTCAGCTGAAGCTAGACGTAGTTCTCAAAGGCTGTACCTGTATATCCTTCATCACACATCTCTAGGATGCTCATCGAACACATGGCATTTGTCCTTGTAAGAATTACTGAGGACTCAGAAAGGCAGCAGAGGTTTTCTTCCACTGGTCTTGCAAGGCTTACCAAGGAAGATTACCTAGGAAACTGGTCTCTAGAGAGCTTAATCTTTTCAGAGGTAAAGGCTTTTGAAATGAGCTTCAACGAGGCACCTGCTCTACCAGTGCTTATCATCAAAACAATACACTGGCTTTGTTTCGAGCAGCTATTTCTTTAATTCTTGCCACAAAAGACAGCTCTAGGAAGGCCATGGTAATTACATTAGTCCTACCACTTCCAGATGGCCCACAAACAGTATTTATCAGTCACTGCAAGCAGTTGGTCAATCTGAAATCAACAAATTAGTGGTAATAAAGCAGAAGCAATATGATAATTATATTTTCCACATTATCATTGATTAACACATGCGCAGGCATTAACACGGGAGCTCCTGTAAGAGTCTGAAAAATAAACAGGTTCTTCACTTAAACCTGAAGCGCCAAGTACATTCTATTAGTGAATCCCCACTAAACTAGTCCTTTAAGGCCTCGCTAAGGGATGCCTGGTTCTTTTTTAATCCCACCCTTCTTTTCATCTGGGTGAGGGTTTAGATCCAAAGATAAAGGCAAAGAGATCCCTGTCAGAAGTGCAGAGCAGAAAGCAGGGCAGAGCTGCAATGACAAAACGGTATCTTTGGTTCTGCATCAGGGTATTATATCTCAACACCACTGGTGTATCTCAACACACCTGGTAGTTATAACATTGTCTTGAAAGGCATCAGGCTGAATAAGGCCAAAATGATAAATGCTTCTAAGCTGTAGCATAGAAAGCAAAGGTGTAGGAAAGCACACACGAGAAGGTAAAAGCCCCCTCTTTAAATGCTTACCGGGCTCATGACATAAGGTATTGCATATTGGTTGGACGATAAATTATCCATGCAAAGTAATTAAAATAATTAAAACCTATCCTGAACTGATTTAAACTCTAACACAAAGCACAAGAGAACCATCTATGCTGCCAAAGAATTTTCAAAGAGGGATGGACAAGCATCAGCAG